AAAGGAATTGTTTAAACTTTGTTCCACCCCTTCTATTAATTCATGTAGAAAGCCACATTAAAGGAGAGAGAAGAGGCTATAAGAAGTTTCTCTTTTGCAAAGACGTCTCTCATATGAAGCCAAAGTTCGGTTTCAAGCCTCCTGTTGTAGCAGCTCCTGTGCAGAGTATGAGGTTAAACAGTAAAAAGACTCCTGATACTCATTCTGTCTTCTGCACGCACACCAGATCATCTCTTATTCACTTTTATTCATCTTTTGTTCACTTCTGACACGATAGCATTGGAATGAGGCCAATTAATAATCCTGCAGTGAACTCTAAGTGTTCAAGTAGAAGGAAGGTTGCATGCCTCTCACTTTAAATCAAAGGCTAGAAATGATTCAGCTTAGTGAGGAAGGCAAGTCAAAAGCCAAGACAAGCAGAAAGCGAGGCTTCTTGTGTCAGTTAGCCAAGTTGTGAATGCAAAGAGAAGGTTCTTGAAGGAAGTTTGAAGTGCAGTGAACTCATGAATAATAAGAAGGTAAAACAGACTTGTTGCTGACATGAGAACGCTTTAGTGCTTTGGACAGAAGATCAAATCAGCCGTAACATTCCCTTAAGCCAAAAACGAATCCAGAGCTAGGCCCTGACTCTCTTCAGCTTTTTGAAGGCTGAGAGAGGTAAGGAAACTACAGAAGCAAAGTTGAAAGCAAGCAGTGGTTTAAGGAAAGAAGCTGTCTCCTTCACATTAAAGTGCAAGCAAGTGCTCATGTAGAAGCTCCAGCAAGTTATTTAAGATCTAGGTAAGATCGTTGAGGAAGGTGGCTACACTAGAAAACAGGTTTTCAGTGTAGCCAAAACAGCCTTCTATTGGAAGTAAAGGCCATCTGGGACTTTCGTAGAGAGGAGGAGTCTCTGCCTGATTTCAAAGGACGTGCTCACTCTCTTGTTAGGGAATAATGCAGCAGTGACTTTAAGTCAGTGTCCATTTACCCTTTTGAACATCCTAGGGCCCCTAAGAGCTTTGCTAAATTGACTCTGCCTGTGCTCTGTAAATGGGACAACAAAGCCTGGATGGCAGCACATCTGTTTACAGCATGGCTTACTGGATATTGTGAGCCCACTGTTGAGGGCCACTACTCAGACAAAAAACTAGCTTCCTTTGAAGGCATTGCTCCTCATTGACAGTGCACCCGGCCACCCAAGAGCTCTGATGATGTACAAGGAAATGAGCGTTTTCGTGCCTTCTAACACTGTCCCTTCTGCAGCCCGTGGGTGAGGAGTCATTTTGACTTTCAAGTCTTATTCTTTAAGAAATACATTTTGTGAGGCTATAGCCGCCATATGCATCTGGCAAAGTAGAGTGAAAGCCTTCTGGAAAGCCTTTACCATTGTACATGCCATTGAGAGCATTCGTGTGAGGAGGTCAGACTGTCAGCCTTTAGCAGGAGTTTGGGAGAAGTTGGTTCCAACCCTCATGGGTACAGACTTCAGTAGAGGGAATTAACTGCATATGTGATAAACATGACGCGAGGACTCGAATTAGAAGTGGAGCCTGAAGATACCACTGACTGGCTACAATCTCATGATAAAACTTGAACAGATGAGGAGGTGCTTCTTTTAGGTGAACGAAGTGGTTTCTTGAGATGGAATTTACTCCTGATGAAGATGCTGTGAAGATTGAAATGACAACAAAGGTTTTAGAATATTATATAAACATAGGTGATAAAGCAGCAGAGGACTGTTTTTGAAAGAAGTCTGTTGGGGTAAAAAAAAAAAACGGCGTCACCTGCTACAGAGAAATATTTCATGAAAGGAAGACTCAGTGAAGCGTGCTTAATGGTTGTCTTATTTTAAGAAGTTGCCACACCCACACCAACCTCAGCAGCCAGCACCCTGATCAGTCAGCAGCCTTCAACACGAGGCTAGACAGACCCTCCACCGGCAAAAAGATGACTCGCTGAAAGCTCAGATAATCGTTACCATTTTTTTTTAGCAATAGAGTATTTTTAAATTTTAGCATATACATTGTTTTTTAACATAATGCTATTTCACACTTAATATACTACGGTGTAGTATAAATGATGTAGTGTAAACATAACTTTTATATGTACCAGGAAACCAAAAAAAAACTGTGTGACTCACTTTGTTGTGATATTTGCTTTATTGTGGTAGTCTGGAACCAAACCCAAAATATCTCCATGTATATCTTTGTATGAGAAGGAAAATAACAAAGGATATATACCCTGGTGTGGTGTCATTTGTCCTCAAATTTGGAAGGTATAAAGGGCACCTTAGGGCACAGGTGTAATGACCGATTCTGCTGTTTGCCACATCTTGGCATTGTTTCCTTCCTTTCAATCTGTATTAGCCTTCCCTGGGAGTCTACATCAGCTGTAAGAAGACTTTGGGAGTTTTTTATTTTATTTTTTTAATTTTATCTTAAAGATGTAGGGTACAGTTCAGGGTTAGGTATACAAATAGTCATTGTACAGGTAAAATTTGGGCTTCACTTTGGTCCCCACTTTACCTGGTTTGAGATCAGGTACCCTTCCTGATGAAGTGTGTCACACACACACACACCGTAGCAGTTTTCTACTACTGGGAGCTATTTTTAACTTTTCAAAAATATTGAATCAAAACTAGACAAAAAAAAATGCCAAGTTTCCTTGCAGATTCTTTAGAATTCTGTTAACTCAGTATAATGGTGCTGGACAGCCCGTGTTTAACGGTAGCTTTGATGAGCACTTTATTCTAGTGTGGTAAAAAATAAAAGCAAATTTTAAATACAGCTCCATAGATGAATTGGTCAAAACATGAATTGGTCAAGACATGGATAAACATAGTATAATACAAAGTGCACAGACTCCAAGGTCAGGTAGACTTAGGTTCTGATCCAAGTCTGTTACTTATGGGTTGGGTAATCCTGGGCAAGTTACTTACCCTTTTTTTTTTTTGAGTCAGGGTCTCACTCTGTCACCCAGGCTGGAGTGCAGTGCAGCCTTAACCTACTAGGCTCAGGCAATCCTTCTGGCTTAGCCTCCCAACCAGCTGGGACTACAGGTGCATACCACCACACCTAGCTAATTTTCTTATTTATTGTAGAGACAAGGTCTTGCCGTGTTGTCCAGGCCTCAAACTCCTGAGCTCAGGCAGTTCTCTCACCTCAGTCTCCCGAAGTGCTGAGATTACAGGTGTGAGCCACCATGCCTGGCACAAGTTACTTAACCTTTTTAAGCTCTATAGTTTCCAGTTTGATAAGTGGGGACAATTAAACGGTTAAGTAAAATACTACTATATAAAGTTGTCGTCATCGTAACCCATTCTTACTGCTGGGCACAGTTCTAAGTGCTTTGCAAATGTTAACACATTTAATCCTCTCACGACTTTCAGGTAGATCTTACTGCTAGTCCCGTTTTACAAATGTGGAGATTGGAGTACAGAAAGGTTATATAAACTTGCCCAGGTCATACACCAAGGACTAGAAGAAAAGAGTTGAACCCAGAGCGTTCAGTTCCAGCACCTAAGCTCCTCACCACCTCTCAGTACTCAGTACTCTATGGCCAGAACATGCCTTATCCTTGGTGGGTGCTCATCAGATAGTACTCACAATCCTTGAGGGAGTGAAGTATTTGTAGTGTCAAAAGATTGAGGACCAGCCGAGCTCGGTGGCTCAGATTATAATCCCGCACCTTTGGGAGGCTGAGGTGAGTGGATTGCCTGAGCCTGCGGGTTCGAGACCCACCTGGTCAGGCGAGATCTCATCTCTACAGTAAATCAAAAAATCAGCCGGGCGTGGTAGCGCGCGCCTGTAATTCCGGCTACTCGGAAGGCTGAGGCGGAAGGATCGCCGGAGCCCAGCAGGTCGAGGCTGCGGTGGCCGGGAGCAGCCAGTGCACTCCAGTCCGGGCGACAGAGTGAGACTCCAACTCAAAAAACAAAACAAAAAACCAAAAAAACCCCTGAGGACTGCTGGGAGAAGCGGCAACCAGTGATTCATGTAAAAATGAATTCTGTTAACTCAGTGTAATGGTGCTGGACAGCCCATGAGGAGATAATTGTGTATCATATGATGGGAGGCTTACATCCTGTTTCTAGAACGGTATCTGGTGCATACCAGCAGTGTTCCTCCAGGGGAGTTGTCTAAAATAGAGACCTGGTTGCATGGGCCTCGAATTGCTCTCAGGCATTCGCGTCTCCCTTGTTGGCACTGTCGCATTTCCTGGAGGCAAAGTCTTGCTTGTTTTTCCAGTCGTTAGTAATGAAACAGGCACCTGACTGACCGAGGGCAGAAAGACATGAAGATACGCTTTTCAGTTCCATTTTTTCTACATGATAGAAATCTCTGCACTAAACACTTGGAAGTCCTCATAGAATTTTAGACCTAGAAAAAGAAACAGAGCTCCAAATGATCGCGTAATTTGCCCACGTCACATCTCTGGTAGTGGCTCATGATCCCATGATTACTTGTGTACTGCTGTTTTTAGCACTGCCCTGGTGGCCATGCTATTGTCTTAAGCTCAGGTACTTGAAGGAACTTGTTTGGCAGGACTGAGTTCTTCAGCAGGTGCTCACTAAGCACTTATTATATGGAAAACTTGGGCTAAGTACCAAGGAACTGGAAATGAAAATTGAGTTATTTAGCTCAGTCGCAGAAAACAGACATGCAAACAGATACCTGTGAGATAGATGGGTATTGCAGTTCAGGTTCTTTTTCTTTTTCAATTCTTATATTCTGTCATTCTACCAGACTGTGAACTTCTTGAGGGGCCTGGCATTCTTTGTGTGCTCCAAGTGATTTGCACAAATGATGATGCATTTATTGAAGGAGGGAACCAGATAACTTGTAAAATAGTAGTCATGAAGCAAAATTCAAGCACTTTTGAGAGTTTTCTGTAAATGACATGAGCATAGCTAATGTATGTGAACTAAAGGGTGACTTGTGTACATGAGCTGTGATACATACGTGCTTGTGCAGGTAATATGTGTATTTTCTTTTTTTTTCTATTTTTCTCAGAGCAAGTGACAGTCAAGTTACTATGAGTCTACTACACTGTGAGAACAACTGTGGGTCCAGCCAGTCTGACAGTGGCTGCTGTGCTGCCATGGCCAGCTCCTGTGGTGCTGCAGTGAAGGAGGACAGTGTGAGTGGGACTGCCAGCTCGGGGACCCTCTCCCGCTCCTTCCTGGAAGAGAGCCAGGGCTATGACGTGGAGTTCGACCCGCCCCTGGAGAGCAAGTATGAGTGCCCGATCTGCTTGATGGCGCTACGGGAAGCAGTGCAGACACCGTGCGGCCACAGGTTCTGCAAAGCCTGCATCATCAAATCGATAAGGTATGTGAGCAGAAGGAAGGGCGGTGTCTGTCCCAGTCACTGCAGGGAGTACTGTTGCCTGTGACATGGGACATCCCAGGAGTTGCCTCACACGTGAAAAGCTGCCTAGGTAAAGACAGAAGGTTGAGAAGTAGAGACTCTTATCCCCGTTCCCACAGTGGTGTGAAAGGGGAGTCTGTCTCCCCATCTCCTGACCCCCAGATAAGTAAGTAAATAAATTGTTGCTTCCACTTAAAGAAATGCTAATGAAGACTAGTGGGTGAGTCTGTGCTTTAAAGAAAATGATATTTTAAAAATGCGCCTTAGCCGGGCTCGGTGGCTCAGCCTGTAATCCCGCGCCTTTGGGAGGCTGAGGTGAGTGGATGGCCTGAGCCCGCGGGTTTGAGACCCGCCTGGGCAACTTGGCGAGACCTCATCTCTACAATAAATCAAAAAATTAGCCGGTCGTGGTAGTGCGCGCCTGTAATTCCAGCTACTCGGAAGCCTGAGGCGGAAGGATCGCCGGAGCCCAGCAGGCAAGGCTGCGGTGGCCGGGAGCGGCCACTGCACTCCAGTCTGGGTGACAGAGTGAGACTCCAACTCAAAAAAAAAATTAAAATTAAAATTAAAAAAAAAAAAAATGCGCCTTAAATGATGATGCCCCTAGATTGTGATACTCTCCACCATAAAAAATGCCGATTTTAGTCATGTTAAAGTCTGCTTGTTACCTGATGTCTGTGGGCAACTGCAAAATAGCCAGGGTTTCAAAGAGAGTATTGCCAAAGCTTTGCCTTCATAATAGTCCCAAATCCAGTCCCTTCTCATGTCCCCCACTGCTTCTGCCCTGTCGTGAGTCACCACCAGCTCCCTGACAAGCCTGCCTGCTTTCCTCTTTTGCCTTCTGGGCTGTTCTCCACACAGCGGCCAGCGTGAACCTGACAAAATCAGGCGATGTCCGCTCCGCGCAGAGCAGGGCAGTGGAGCAGCTGAGAGTGCGAGCCAGAGTGCATGGGAGATGGTCTGACAGGCCCGTGACTCCCTTTCTGACCTCTCCTCTGCAGGTGCTCTCCCTCTACCCTGCCCCACCCCCTTGCTGTTCCTTGGGCTTGTCAAGCACTCTTCTCCCAGCGCGAGCCACTTTGACTGTTCTCCCTGTTTGGAACACTCTTGCCACAGCTAGCCCTTAATTCCCTCCAGTGTGGCCCAACACTCACCATCTCATCAGTTCCAGCCACCCTGTTTATACCAAGCATGTCCCCACCCTGTTTGCCCCAGTATTCCCACTCTCTCTTGTCAGGTTCTGCTTTTTCCTTAGCACTTTCTGCCTTCTAAAACAGATCATTTATATGTTTTTTGTATGCTAGCTCCATTGGAAGATTAACTCCTTGACAGCAAAGGTTTAGATCTGTTTCATTTCTTGGTATTTCCTAAGTGCCAGGAACAGTGTGTGACTCACAGTAGGTGCTCAATAAACCGTGGCTGCTTTAATTAAAGTATGTGGGACGTCTGCAAATGACTTGAATTCATCATCTAAGAAAAAGACACATTTTATTTTACTTCAAAGGTAAATGGGAATATTTATGGATAACTAAGGAGTCCTATGTCAGACAAAAAAAAATGGATGAAAGGAAGCAGATTTTATGTTCTTCAGAAGACAGCCACTTGGTTATAATGGTCAAGTCATTTTAAAATAGGTTAAACCCATCTCTGACAACTTGTTAGTCTCATAAGTTTTTATCTCTCAGCTTTTACATTAACTGTTTTATAAGGCTTGAGTTTAGAATAACTATATCCATACCCAGGACTTGGCTTAGTTTAAGTTACAAGGGAGCACGTCTCTTCCAACTTTTGGCAACGTGTTACCCAGTGTTGCCTTGACAAGATCTGACTGTGGTTGATTTTTTTAGCCTCCCCACTGTCGATATTTGGGCTGGATGATTCTTTGTTGTGGGAGGATGCCCTGTGTGCTACCGAGTCTTTAGCGTCATCCTGGCCTCTGCTCACTGGATGCTGGTAGTGGTGAGCCCCAAACATAGTTGCCCCTGGTTGGGATCAGTTACTTAGGGTAGACATGAGAGCATGTTAAAGGCTTGACGTTTTTCTGTTTATAATGATTTTATTTGTGTTGTAAAAGTGGTACCTTATTATGGATCACTGATTTTTCTGTAGTTAGAAATGTGCAATGTTTAACCAAGTGTCAGCCATGCCTACGAATGTCGCTAATATTTTGCAGCTTTTTAATAGCAATATATTTATAAAGGTAGTAGAACAGAAAGGAAATAAAACCCGCTGGAGGAAGCTGAGGCTTTTTTCCCCCCTATCTCCTGCTAAACTAGAAGTGGCCACTTAACTTTGGCTCTACTATTGTTAGAGGAGCTTCTCTGACATTTCTCACTGGTTGTAGGCATTTAAGAAATCAAAATGGATTTCAATCCAACTTATTTCTTTTGGAGACATTGCTAATTCTGTGGGTTGTGGTTTTTAGTTCACTTTGTGCGATTCTTCTTTCCTCTTAGACATGCATCACTTTAGGTACATATTTCAGCAAAGCTGTTTATGGCTTTCTGTGCTTCATTGAGAATATTTGATAGTGTAATAATAACAGTATGCAACCTGAGAGAAGCCCCATAAAGATCAACTCTGTCTCCCACCTTTATTAGTTCTAAGCCACTTGACAGCAGACTATTTTTCAGTCACACTTTTACTGTCACAGCAGCTAGCACTGGTGAGCACATAGGAGACACTGAGCAGATGTATATGTGATTTATTAAGGCTTCTGTAGCCCGTTCAACCTGCCACATCTTGTGAGTGGAGATGGAGACATCTGAAAAAGTTAAAGGGGAATCATGGGCCTGTCAGACACCCAAGCTGTCTGGGGGTGGTGTTTTCCCTCACAAGACAGAGTGAACCATGGTAAGCAAGGTATAGAGATCCTTTGACTCTCCATTGTATTATACTTCAGACACACAAATAAAGGAAAATGTTTGTTGCCCTCGAGCCAGAGTGTTGTGGTAACCATTGCAGACGATTCACATGTGACCTCATGAGTCTCCTGCTGATGGGTTAAGTGTGTACTTATGACTGAACAATACAGCATGGACATTTAGTATTGTGAGTGCACATTCCATCCTACTAGTGTGCTGTATTGGTGAGGACAGACGGATGCCAACCAGACTGTCAGAAGCCCTGTTCTTAACTTTATTTTATTCCATTAATTTTTCTTATTTCTTTAGCTGAAACCTACCCCACAATCTAAAATCCCATAGCTTTTGGTAGGTTATCAGTATGGTGCTAAGCGTACTCATTTCATAAAAGAACAATTCCCAAGCTATGTATAAAAGGACAGTTTATTTTGGTGATATTATGTAACATAATGTGTTCTTTTTCCTTAGGAAATAATAAATGGAGATTTTACATCTGGTGAATTAAAGTTGCTTGGATTTTCTAATGTGACTCTTTAAACCTACTAATTATAAACACATAATTTGTTTCTTTTAGGGATGCAGGTCACAAATGTCCAGTGGACAATGAAATACTGCTGGAAAAACAACTATTTCCTGACAATTTTGCCAAACGAGAGATTCTTTCTCTGATGGTGAGGTGTCCAAATGAAGGCTGTCTGCACAGGATGGAGCTGAGGCATCTCGAGGTATGAGTGTTGTGTTCTGGCTGTTGGCAGTTTCTGGAGAAAAGGGCTTCGGCTGTGTCTGTGTGTGCAGCCAGTGCCTGGCATACAATAACTGGTCAGTAATCAATTCTTGCTGAATTGATGCCAACCCTTTGATTATTGAATATAAATATAAGCAAAAACCAGACCTTTCTTACTCCATCTATTCTGGCTTTGCCCCAGTGATAATTTTTTTTTTTTTTAAAAAGAAGTAATCAGTGTTCTTTTATAAGCATTCTTTTTTTGAGTTGGAGTCTCACTCTGTTGCCCAGGCTGGAGTGCAGTGGCATGCTCACGGTTACCCCAGTGTCAACCTGCTGAGCTCAGGTAATCCTTCTGCCTCAGCCTTCCAAGTAACTGGAACTATAGGCATGCGCTACCACGCCCGGCTAATGTTTTGATTGATTGTGGAGATGAGATCTCGCCAAGTTGCCCAGGCTGTGCTCGAACCTGTGGGCTCAGGCAATCCCCTCACCTCGGCCTCCCAAAGTGCTGAGATTACAGACTTGAGCCACCATGCCTGGCCTATAAGTTTTCTGAGTGAGCATTATCTGCAATTTAAATACAAGTGTTGTCTGGGCACAGTGGCTTACATCTGTAATACCAACACTTTGGGAGACCAAGGCAAGAGGATTACTTGAGCCCAGGTGTTTGAGACCAGCCTGAGCAACCTGGCGAGATATTGTTTTAGTTAAAAACAATAAAAAGAGAGAGATAAAGAAAGAAGAAAAATACAAGTGTCACATTTTATTTTATTTATTTATTTATTTTTTGAGTTGGAATCTCACTCTGTCACCCAGACTGGAGTACAGTGGCTGCTCCCGGCCACAGCAGCCTCGACCTGCTGGGCTCCGGCGATCCTTCCGCCTCAGCTTTCCAAGTAGCTGGAACTACAGGCATGTGCTACCACACCCGGCTAATTTTTTGATTTATTGTAGAGATGAGGTCTCGTCAAGTTGCCCCGGCGGGTCTTGAACCTGCGGACTCAGGCAATCCACTCACCTCAGCCTCCAAAGCGCGGGATTACAGGCTGAGCCACCGAGCCTGGCTAGGTGTCACTTTTTAATCCCTGGACTTTCTTTTTCTCATTTAAGCAATAAGTCCCATGCAGTCATTATTTCAGTATCTTTACTATTTTCTCTGTTTTTCTTTTTTCCTTTTTTTTCTTTTAAATTTTAGAATTAGGGGTACAAGTGCATGTTGTTACATGGACATATTGTGTACTGATGGGTGTTGGGTCTCAGGTGGCCCATTACCCAGATGGTGAACATTGTGCCCAACAGATTATTTCTGGACCCTAAGTCTCCTCTCTGCCTTCTGCCTTATTGGTGTCTCCATTGTCTATTATTTCCATCTTTATGGCCATTTAGCTCCTGTATGTAAGTGTGTTTTTCTTCCCCCTCTGTTTTTTCTACATTGTGCTTTTTTTTTTGAGTCAGGGTCTCACTCTGTCACTCAGGCTGGAGGCTGGACTACTGTGGCGTGACCGCAACTACTGCAGCGTTGACTTCTTGGGCTCAGGCGATCTCTTCACCTCAGCCTCCTGAGCAGCTGGGACTACAGGCCCTCACACCTGGCTAATTTTTAAAATTGTTTTGTGGAGATGAGGTCTATTTTGCCTTGGCTGCTCTCGAACTCCTGGGCTCAAGTGATTCTCTTGTTTTGGCCTCCAAAGTGCTGGAATTGTAGATATGAGCCACCACGCCTGGCTAAATTGTGCATCTTATTGTGAACAAAATGGAATACCTCCATAGCTGGTGATTAGCTGAAGTGATCAGATAATAAAATAATTTAAATAAATCAATTGTTAGCTTGGTGGTTTTTACCACAAATTGAGTACTGTTAAAATCCTATGTGAAGTTAAATGTTCAAGACAGATGTGTAATGTGTTCCCCTTAGCTCTTTTCCAAGGAGTGGCCTTACTGACAGAGTGATCGGTAATCGGGAAACCTGACTTCTTTTCACCTCCCTTCCCTGGTTGCATGTGTAAAGCTGAAAATTCACATTTTTTATGTAAACTTGCAATCCACAACCATTATTTGAAAAAAAAGTGGTCAAGGGCTTTATATTGTGAATGACTCTGTGGTGTGTGCTTGATAAGGTAGGTTCAGTAGCCAACTCCATCAAAGAGAGCAGTATATTGTCAGAAGAGGTTAAGAAGACTTATTCAGGGTTACTTAATACTGATCACTCATTTTTTGTTTTTGTAGGATCATCAAGCACATTGTGAATTTGCTCTTACGGATTGTCCTCAGTGCCAGCGTCCCTTCCAGAAGTGCCAAATCAATATTCACATTCTCAAGGATTGTCCAAGGAGACAGGTTTCTTGTGTAAACTGTGCTGTACTGATGGCATTTGAAGATAAAGAGGCATGTGCTAACTTGGATTTGTTAATGTCGCTACTTCTCAATTTTTTTTTATTAATGTTTTTTAAGTGTATCCTTGAAGGGTTAGCAGTAGATAAGGATGTGACTCTCACTCTGAGTCTACATTATCGCTTTTGGGAAAACAAAAAGAAAAGAAAATTCAGCCATTTTAGGACATAAGTGTACAGTTTATATTTGCGTATCTGAGAAAACCTTGTTTATACCAGTTTCCATGGTTATGTATCTGCAAGTAGCAAAAGCTTCTAGGAAAGGCATGTGCTGATCAGATTTCTGTGTGTAATTTTGTGATCAACCTTGGATTGAGACAAGTACAGTAAATATGGTATAAGACTTACACAGAATCATTTTGAAAAAGAGAGTGGATGGTTACAACTCATAGGAAAAATAAGTTAAATTCCACGAAGTGTTTCCCCCCTTTGTCATGCTACACATACACCACAAAAGTGAACATAATGTAGTCACTTTTTTAGTATGAATGGTATACTTAAGTTTAAAAGTTTATATTTGGAAAAGAAACTTGATGGTGCCTGACAGCATCATGAAGCAGTTTTGCTGTTCAGAAACTGATATAGAGCGAGGTTAAGCAATGTTATGTTAATATTGTCAGTGACGATGCTAACACTGGAATCCTAGCCTTCGATTCTTATTTTTTGTACTCTTTTCTAAAATAACCTATATATTACTTACGTTCTTTTATACTTTTACTTACGTACTTTCTTAAACTTTAGTTCTTACAAATTCCTCTTGGTAATTTTTCCTCCTTTAATATGAGATCAAGCACATTGTATTCATTAGGTTGATAAAATACTCCAAAAATGTTCGCTAACTTGCTAAAAAGGTCTCTACAAAAGCAGTCATAATTAGAGCAAATTGACATCTCCTTTCGGAATATCAGTAAGTAAATTAGATGAACATAACTGGGAAAACTAATTATTTCTCATCACATCCACTAAACTAAAGGCATTGTATTCTAGAAAACAAGGCTCACCCTTCTGGGGCATACAAGAGCCTGGGCACCAAGCCCTCATGCTCTAATAATACATCTGTTCTTTAACCCTGTTGATGAGAGGTCGTTAAATTGTTATGCTGCTTCCAAAAATTTTTAGAAGAAAATCGCCACTGGAGCATCACAACATTGGCAGGTGATGTCCAAAGTAGTTGCAGATGCACTGCCTCAGGAGTTAAAAACTGCTCTTTTGTATACTACTGTAATTTTTAAAGAGCTGAAAGGCTAACTGAATCTCATTACTACACTGACAAAGGGAAATAAAATATATTTTTGTGTATTACACCCACATTGTTGTTTTGCACAAATTAATGTCATTCATTCATAGGGAAACCAAACTCTTTTCACAAAAGTTAGTTTTTACTTTTTCAGATTTTCTCTTGCTTTTCTTATATATTTCTCTAATAAAATTTAGATCCATGACCAGCACTGTCCTTTGGCAAATGTCATCTGTGAATACTGCAATACCATGCTCATCAGAGAACAGGTATAATGATGCTGTTTCATAAATTAATATTTTCATAAATAGCTTTAAGAAGTGATTTTGTTTTTTTATTGAAAATTTAGATCGGTAAAGGCAAAAGGAATACAGGTTGAAGTATTAGAGCTGTATGAAAATTTTTCATATAAATTAATATAATTAATAAATACTTTTGGAAACAACAAAGTATCCAGCCCATTTTAAGTACTTAAAATTCCTAGGTCATTAACATAATACCTATTTTTGTTTATTTAACAAAATGAGACAATTTTAAGATAAAATTCATCAAAAATAGGGGTCCCCATTTAAAGCAGTCAGGTCCTGGCTGAACGAGTAAGAGGGAGTAGTGAAATAGAAGAAAGCACATCTGTTCAGTAGCAGAACTTTATCTGTGGCTGTGACCCCTGAGGCACATAGGGAGGTTCTGAGATTTCAGGACCTGTGACTCCTCTATTCAGTTGTCCTGCAGGCCACTGTTGGGGCATCATCAGAAGTAATTGTGATAAGAGAAAACTATATGTTTTTATTATTAATAGAGAAATTATTAATAGAAGAAAGAAATCAAATTTCATCTGATTGCTGTCTTCTGACATTTGGGGGTTTTCCCACAGAATATGAACATCAGTCACTAAATATTTATGCACCTGTGAAGTCTATTAATGCAGAGATCATTACTGATTACTTTAAGCAGAAGCAAGCAAAACCTGACAGTCAACTAAACTTTTCCATTTGTTCACAGAATCTTAGTTTTTTTCCCAATAAAGCCTTAATTTGAAGGTGTTAAACTTCTTTTTGCTTATGAAGTCCCACCTCCCTGGTTTTCCATTTTGATTCTCTTTTAGACCATTTAAAATGCAGCAAAAATAAAATTTAATGTAGGAAAAAACCCTAGGCTGAGTCAGAAGACCTAGGTTTTGATCCTGGTTGTAAAACTAACCTGTCGTCTGATCTCTGGCAAGTGGACATTCTAGGTCAGTGATCAGCACACTGGCCCGCCAGCCAGATCTATCCTGTGATCTGTTTTCATAATTAAAGTTTTATTGAAACACAGTCATGCCTGAGTGTGTGTGTGTGTGTGTGTGCACGTGTGCGTGTATGTATGTGTGTGTATTGTGTTCGGCTGCTTTTGCACCACAGTGGTGGAGTTGAATACGTGGGACAGAGACTGTTCAACCCACATTTGCTCTCTGACCCTTTACAGAAAATTTTGCTGACCCCTATTCTAGATTGTTTCCTCTTGAGGAATGAAGGATTGGATTAAATGGGCTCTGAGGTCGTTTGAAATATCTCCAAGTATAGCCAAACTGAATTTCTTAAGGAAATTTGGCACTATTTGTAAAGAATATGATTCTGTATAATGAATCTCACCTTAAAGAATGTGTTTTAGAGTCCCCAAATCAAAGACTGAGACTTTCTTTAGAGCTTTTTTTAAGGTGCTGGATGTACCTTCTAACGTTAGAATCTTCCCAGTGTAGCTAAAATATACCCAGGTTAACCAAAGGTGGCATGATTAATGAAAAGCAACCAGGAGGGAAGTAATGGATGTAGTCAGTGGCTTCAGTGAATGCAGGTACCTGCTTCCTATTAAGTGGCTGTACTTCAGCGAGAGTTAGTGTCAAAAGGGGCTTTTTCTCTAGAATACCACTAGAGGATGCCAGTTCCCGGCAATTGAAACAAATCTGTTTTTCTGAATTTTGAATCATTTGAGAGGGATGCTATGAGGTGTTAAAATTCCCTTTCTCTATAATTTTTGGAGGTAAATATTTTAATCTTTGTGGGATACACAGTGTCTTTAGCAGCTATTCAACTCTGACATGTGGTGCACAAGCAGCCATAAAACAATACATGGTTTTGTTTAAATGAAACATAGATGTGATTTTATCCAACTAAAACAAGATACGCAGGGAAAAGCATTTTCAGCCTTTGTTTTGGATTTCAGATGCCGAATCATTATGATCTAGACTGCCCTACAGCCCCAATTCCATGCACATTCAGTACTTTTGGTTGTCATGAAAAGGTAAGGTTTTTTCCCTTTTGATTCTTGATGATATGTAAAGAATGTTCAGTTATAGAGTGTGGGAGAGAATAACAATGAGAATGAAAATGTTTATAAAACAGTGTGATAAATGATGTAATAGGTGGGTGCTGTGAACATAGGCGAAGGCTTGCTTAGCAATGCCTAAAGCATTCAGGCCGTCTTGACAGAATTGGGGTTTGGGCTAAATCTCAACAGATCAAAAGAGTTGTTCAAGAAGACAGAGGAGAGAAGACTAGGAGAGAGTGTGAGTGTGGTGATTTGAGAACCACAGGTAGACAATGGCAGTGAAGACGGATCAGGAGCGCCCCATACTTAAGAGAGAACATCTACTTGCTGTGCAACTGCGTAAGATGAGTGAAGGGGAGAGGACGGCGTCTGGAGTAGCTCTTGGCTTCTGGTCTTGGTTATTGGAGAGACAGAAGGGCCGTTCAGCAGCAAAGAGTAAACACGGCAAGAACTGATTGGAGGTAGACATTTTATTTTATCTGTTTATTTTTGGTGGGGTATCGCTCTGTTGCCCAGGCTGGAGGGCAGTGACACGATCACAGCTCACTGCAGCCTCGACCTCCTGGGCTCAGGTGATCCTTCCACCTCAGCCTCCCAAACAGCTGGGACTACAGGCATGCGCCACCACGCCCAGCTAATTTATTTTTTTTGTAAAAATGAGATCTTACTGTGTTGCCCAGGCTGGTCTCAAACCCCTGGACTCAAATGGTCCTCCTGCCTCCGCCTCCCAAAGTGCTGGGATTACAGATGTGAGATTATACCACACCTGGCCAAAGTAGATTTTTAACAATGCGTTCTGTTTAATGGTACTGAGTTGCAGATACGAGGAGTTCACCCAGCTAAGCAACATCCAGGTGGAAAGGACCAGTATGCCTTTATGTGTGGCTTATGCTCCAAAGAGAAACTGGGACTCAGAGTATTGACTGGGGAAGTAATTTGTGGTGATGAGAGCATGTGGGGATGTACAGAAAGAGAGACAGGAAAGGAACGTGCGAACAGCACGCGAAACAGGCGAACAGGGGAAAGCAGGTGGTCTCCAAAGTTTGCTCTAGGACTCATGGTCAGTGGTGTCAGATATCTGCGATAAATCATTATTTGCGACAAGTCATTCTTTCTGGAGAGTGTGATTTTACTTTTGCATTTCCCTTGTGCCTTTTTTCTGAATTTTTTAAAAATGAGCAAAATGGTATATTGTATGGTTATATTTGTGGAAAAATTCTGTGTTGTTTGCATGCTTAGAGAAAAGGACTCGAAGGAATTCTTAATGGAAGTTAGGTGAGATAATAGATAACATTTCTTCTTCTTTTTTTTTTTAAGAGACAGGATTTTGCCCTGTTGCCCAGGCTGGAGTGCAGTGGTATGGTCATAGCTCACTGCAGTCTCAAAGTCAAGTAATTCTCCTGCCTCAGTCTCTTGAGTGCTGGGATTATAGAGAGTCTCCCTCCTAGGCATCCCAAAACACTGGAATTACATACCCAGCAATCTTGAGGAGATGCATCATTGAGTCAGAAAAGAAGGATGGGTGTAAATACAGATATTTGTGTAGGTGAGAGGGAGGTTTCTCTGAGTGACAGCTGAGAGAGTAGTCAGTCATCAGATAGCCTCAGTTTGTCAGTGAAGAGGCAGGGTCATCTCACTGGCTCAAGAATCTGTGAAGGCAAAAGAAAGTCACAGAGGAAGTGGTGCTGCTGCTTTAAAACTTCTTGTCTGACGTGGCCACTTCTTTTCCTAGTTTTCACAGTGTCCCTAACCTTAGGCTTGTGCTTGGTTTTTAGATGCAGAGGAATCACTTGGCACGCCACCTCCAGGAGAACACCCAGTCACACATGAGAATGTTGGCCCAGGCTGTTCACACTTTAAGCCTCACTTTGACTCCCCTTCCTCAGCGGGATGTGTCTCCGTATGATTCTCCTCCTCCATCCTGCATTTCCTCTGGGTGTCACCCAGAGGTCCAGAATTTCCAGGAAACCATTCACCAGTTAGAGGGCCGCCTTGTGAGACAAGACCACCAAATCCGAGAACTGACTGCTAAAATGGAAACCCAGAGCATGTATGTGAATGAGCTCAAGCGAACTATTCGGACCCTTGAGGACAAAGTTGCTGAAGTGGAAGCACAGCAGTGCAACGGGATTTACATCTGGAAGATCAGCAACTTTGGGATGCACTTGAAATCTCAAGAGGAAGAGAAGCCCGTTGTCATTCACAGCCCCGGCTTCTACACAGGCAGGCCCGGGTACAAGCTGTGCATGCGCTTACACCTTCAGTCGCCAGCCGCTCAGCGCTGTGCAAACTACATCTCCCTCTTTGTGCACACGATGCAGGGCGAGTATGACAGCCACCTTCCTTGGCCCTTCCAGGGCACAATACGCCTCACGATTCTTGATCAGTCTGACACACCAGTAAGGCAAAACCATGAAGAGATCATGGACGCCAAACCAGAGCTCCTTGCCTTCCAGCGACCCACAATCCCTCGCAACCCTAAAGGTTTTGGTTATGTAACTTTTATGCATCTGGATGCCCTGAGACAAAGAACCTTCGTGAAGGATGACACATTACTCGTGCGCTGTGAGGTCTCCGCCCGCCTTGACATGGGCAGCCTTCGGAGGGAGGGCTTTCAGCCACGAAGTACTGATGCAGGAGTGTAGCACACCGTCTTCATTCAGAAACAACAGTCTGGAGAAGGCAGTGCCTTTTCTTGCCCTATTCTCAGTTATAACACACAAAAAATAAAAAGCAGTGGAAAAGATGTAATACCCACCATTGAATGTTCGAGAGATACAGATAGATTGGAGGCAGTTTTTTCTTGGGAATCCACACGCTCCATGCTTCTTCAAAAATGTTACACCTGAAATGCCTGTGGCACGTTGCAGCAGCTATTTTGTTCATTTGTATACCTCTTTGTTATACTTCCAGGGGCTTTTGCTCCAGTATTTTATTGTCAGAAAGCCCAGAGTCAGTGTACTGAAGCTCAAACTTTTAATAATAATGGACTTTACTTAAAATTTCAGCTTATTTTTATAGTATTATATGTAATATATTAAATGTGAGAGTCACTACTGCCTTGTGCTGGTGTCAGCAAGAAAAGTCACTGCTCTCGAGAGTTGAGTTCTCATTTGTTTGACCTCATAGATTCTAGAGGATCCGAACCATAATCCTTGGAAAATTTAAGTTCTCATTCGCCCCATTTTTTTCCTCCAGGTTGTTACTAAGTCTATCCAAGGACTAGTTTATACCCTAGATTTATCCTTTTTTAGTATAAGCATGTCGTCTGTTGAATAATACTTGTCTACATGTTTCATCTTGCCTTGCCTACCTGTTTTCCTTAAGGCCATGAAGTAGCATCTTCTCAGAGTTTAGAATGCTAAGAACCATGGGGATACCAACTGCTCAGGGTTACACTGTGCAACCCTTATTGTCTGTTCAGTGCAGAGTGAGTTTTACAGCTCTGCGTGTGTCTTCAGTTCAACACTTACAGGACAAGGAAGTATGCACATTTAGTCACGAACATAAAGATTAAAAGTGACTCAACTACTCAGCCAGTGTGGCATTTTATTGGTAACAGAAGCTGTGTAAACCAGAAATGTTCAGCTCTTTTGAATACTCCCTGATTGAGCTCACCCAAATGATTCATTTCCTAAAAACAAGTCCTTAAAACTTGGGAGATCATTGGAAGTTCTTGAAAGGTAGTCACACTAAGTTTGGAAGTCTTAGTGATCGTGTCACAACTTAGCTTGAGTATGTCCAGCAATTCACTGCAGGTCTCAGGGGCCTATGGAATGTGTTGAAGTGGCCTGGTGTTCCTGATAAGGAGAGGTGATATTTTTGCTGTCATATATTTGTGAAAGGCCTGTAAATAGAAAGTATGGTAGAATCTAGTTCTCAGAGAGTCCACAACTTAGACCTTATGGGGGATCTAAGAACCCATCCACTGTGCCGTTTGCACAAGAGGACTTAGATGAGAGCTGGTATTGGACCTCCAGAGAGGCCAGATCACAGTCCCAGCCAGGGTTTGACATCAGCCTTTGTTGCAAGAGGAAGCCAAGAGACCAGGTCTGTGAGTCTGGCGTTGGTTCCAGGCTGCCCCAGCGAGCTTCCCTTGGAACTTTCCCTTTGCTTTTCTTTCGGCCCTTTCTCCCACCCCACCCTGTAAGGCTCCAGCTCTAGTGAGTTTGTTGTGGAGTAAATATAAAAGTCCTCGAGACCTTACACCCTCTGCCACCGTGAGCACCACGGACTTGTGCCTCCTTGTGGTCTATTTCCTGGTCGTTTATTCCCCCAGCTGTACTTTCCAGCCGGTTTCTGAGCCCCAAAGTGGACTATCGTCCACAGGCAGGGAGAAATGCACAGCTGCTGTGCCTTGGTGGTTTTCTTCTTTATATTTTGATGATTTCTTTATTGAACACATGCTTTATGTGATTGTTTTTAATGAATAAATAATTGTCAATCTCCACTTAAAAAGTAAATATTTTTGTATTTACATGGAAAAAGTCTGAGGGAAATATACTAAACTATTTTTAATGTCTTATTCTTTGTTGCTTTTCTGTTTTCTACATTTTCTGCAGTAAATATGTACTTTTATTAGAGAAAAAAATTAACTGTTGTCAGAAAACGTTCACACTTTACCCCTACCTCCTCAGCCCCCCCAAAAGGAAATGATATTTAAAAGCTTCCTTGTCAGATTTCTATTAAGAGCATAGCTGTGCATTAGGTACTGAGGAGTCATTTCCTGCCTTGGTTATGTTGTTTCTTCTACGAACTTGGGAGTCTTATAACAAATACAGGATTTTGCCTAGCTCCAGCTTCTAGCTTCAAGCTTCCCGTGTGTAAAATGAGTTGGACTAGCTGTTGTTCCGGGCCCCTCCAGCCATGGCGTTCTGCCTCAGGAACTTAAATCCCAACCAGTGGAGCGTTGGCTAGTAGGAAATGGCTTTAACTTACTCTTTGTTAAAGCCATTTAACTTACTCTTTGTTGACACTAATACTTTATAATTTAGTGTCCATCAGCTGGGTCACATGGTAGTTAAAATGTGCACTTTTAAAATTTTGTAATCCAACGAGTTATTTTATGCCGGTCCTTCATTGTGACTACAGTAGTCAAGCCGCCATTCCAAACAGAAAACATTGGATAAAACTTCAACTCAGAATCAAGTCTTAACCTAGAAATCTGGTTTCTTAATATTTCCCATGTCCTGCCCCATTCTTTTTTTTTTTTTTTTTTTTGAGTTGGAGTCTCACTTGGTCGCCCAGACTGGAGTGCAGTGGCTGCTCCCAGCCACCGCAGCCTCGCCTGCTGAGCTCCAGCGATCCTTCCGCCTCAGCCTTCCGAGTAGCCGGAATTACAGGCATGCGCTACCACGCCCGGCTGATTTTTATGATTTATTGTAGAGATGAGGTCTCGCCAAGTTGCCCAGGCGGGTCTCGAACCCGCGGGCTCAGGCAATCCACTCACCTCAGCCTCCCAAAGGCGCAGGATGACAGGCTGAGCCACCGAGCCCGGCTTCCTGCCCCATTCTTAAACCCACTGGATTCACCCAGTTGGTCTACAGGCATTTGGGCTGTGTTTTTATATTTTGCCAACCACCATGTAGCATAACTCATCTTTTGGCATCATTCTGAGACATTGCTAACAAAAAAATTGGTTCCTCTTTTTCCAGAGATGTTGGATGAAACTTGCTACAAGTCCTGTGTGTTGCTCTTGGCAAACAAGGCTGGATTTTGATTGGTGGTTGGGTAGAATGTTACTATCCCTTGGCAGCAGTGACAGTTTCTGGCGATCCTACAGTATGACTCTGTTTTGAGATGAATAAGAGAAAAAGGTGAAGCAGATGAAGGTGGGTTTTTTACCCTAATGATGAATTACTATAGATGTTGGATGATCTCTAACAATTTCTGTGACTAGCCTAAAAGTATGTTCTTCATTCCTGTTTTTTGCCAGTAAGTCTCAGATAAACTGAGAGCATGTTTATGAATTTTTCGAATTAGAATGCATCCTTTTTTCAGAGGAGCAGTTGCTTGTCATTCCTTTGGATTTCAGGGAATCTTCAATTCTTTGTTGACCAGAAAACTTTACATCATTAGAGACATTTTTCCAATTTAACATTTTGCCGTACTTTTATTTTATTCAGTTACTAACACTGACTGTTCTTTCCTTGACTTGCCTCAGTTAGATTCTACTCATTGTTTTATGTCAAATACTATTTGGTGTTTTTTGTGCTGCCTAGTTCCCTAGAACCTAAGCAATGCAGTGCCTTAAGGAAATGAAAAAGAAACAATAAATAGTCGTTAGTATTTTTCTTTTAAAATACATTATTTTTAAATTCCCAAATTCACAAGATAGACTGTACTTAGTTTCAGAGTTGTCCTTACATCTATGAAATGGAGTTGACACTTCCAGATTCCCAGTATCCAGAAAGATGATTCATGAAATCAAACTGGATGGATCTTGGCAGATTCTAATAATCAGCCTTCACTCTTTGTCAAAGATGAACACTTGCAAGGAGATGCCTAGTTGTTTCACCAAGTGTCACCTATGTCTTTAATGTTCTAAAGCTCTCTCCCACCCCTAGGAAACTCAAGCTATTTCCGAAAAATAATTCTAGATGGAGAAAGTGTTTTGTGGAATGAGGAGATGCTCCTTTTTCTCAAAGTGCCTTTTATACCAGAGGGCAGGAGGGGTGTGCTCTTCTGTTCTTCTGCCCCTGGGACTTGCTGTTCTGAAATCAGGGACTGTCCTGTGCCCAGGACACCAGCAAACCAGCAGCACCGTTTTCTTCTCTGCCAGCCCCCAGGAGAATGTCCACTGTGGGACAAGGACATGTTCGGGTCACTGCCGAGTTCCCTGGTCTGCCCACAGTGCCTGGCACATAGGACACAGTCAAATATGTAATCATGAACATGTAATGAAAGCAGTGGTTGAAGCTGACTAATTTCTGATAGCTAATTCATGTTATCTTTTTTGCTTTATTTTCCTCAGCCCTTTATTATGAAATTTCTCAAACATGCAGAAATGTTCAAAGACTTGTGTAGTGAACACCCACCACCTAGAATCTGCAATAGCATTCTGTTACATTTCCTTTGTCACTTAATAGATGTTGCTTTTAATGAAACTTCAAGTTTGGTTTCTTTTAAAAAATCTCTAGCCGGGCATGGTGGCATGTACCTATAGTTCCAGCTACTTGGAAGGCTAAGGTGGCAGGATCACCTGAGCCCAGCAAGTCAAGGCTGCTGTGGCTGTGAACAGCGTGCCACTGCACTCCAGCCTGGGTGACAGAGTGAGACTCCCAACTCCAAATAAGAAAAAAAAATCTCACACCTAAACTAAATTGAACAACTTTAATCAAGTTGTCTTAAATACTTTGAGGAAACTTGTTATATTTGTATTGTAACTGGAATTGCTGTCCTCATTTTAAGCTAATCTTAAACTTGTGTGAATTTGTTATGCTGAATTTTAATCTTAAACTGAAGAGATTTTTAATAATGGATTTATTTGAAAAATCTTTGATCAGTTGTTTAGAATATTCTAACACTTGATAAATTAGTTAATTTCCCTGATGAGAATATAATTTGGGGCCTATTTAGCTTATACAGGGTTCCAGGATTATGTTCTCAGAAAGGCCTCTCATAATTCTATAAACTGATAAGCTATAGAATGAAATCTGACTTTTGAAAACTGAAACACATTGCTGGGCATGGTGGCTCACACCTGTAATCCCAGCATGTTGCGGGTTGGAGATGAGAGGGTTGCCTGAGCCCAAAGGTTCGAGACCAGCCCAGACAACTTGGCAAGACCTTGTCTCTACAATAAATCAAAAAAATTAACTGAGTGTGGTGGCACACGCCTGTAATTCCAGCTACTTGGAAGGCCAAGGCAGAAGGATCACCTGAGCCCAGCCGGTCAAGGCTGCTGTGGCCGTGAGCATGCCCCTGTACTCCAACCTGGGCCACAGAGTGAGACTCCGACTCAAAACGAAAAAATTGAAACACATTCATGATCAAAATGTCTCATCAAAAAGCCTGCTGTTGCTTAGAACCTACTATTGCTCCAGAGCCTATAAGCGATTTTCCTAAACCCATCTGGACTCTGACAATATGCGCTATACAAGAGGGAGTGAACTCAGGGGGCGGGGCACTAGCCCTGGAAAGACTGAAAATGAGCACTCAGTTTTGAAGCAGCTTATACCGAAGGAGAGATTCAAGGCATGGCCCAGATTCAGGGCAGGACACCCTCCATGCCCTGCACACATGTGAGGCAGCCCTGCTCCTGCTGGCCGGAGCTCAGGCCTCTGTGGTCCAGACGGCTGAATGGCAGGGAAGCTGAGAGGGACGGAGAACTGAGCGGGGAGCAGGCCACCACCCCCTTCAGTAGGTGAGTGGGGCCTGTTCTAATCAGGGATGGATGTGGATTCACGTTTACCTCCCCAAGGCACCTGGCGCGTTCATGTCCTGTCTCGGTAGTGGTTGCAAGGATATGACCAAGGTGGTTCCTTGAGGGCACCTTGCTGAGTATTTATTTCTAAGAGAACAAATGCGGGGCCGACACACCTGCTGCCTCCCGCTTGCTGCTCCCTTACCTGCCTGTATACGGCACCAGTGTTTGCAGAAAGGCGTTTAATTAACATGAAATATATATTAAAATATAAGCAGTATTCCAAGTGGCTTTTAATGAAGTCACTAGTCTGCTTTGATTTGTGCTTCATCGTCGTTCTATTTTGGGGACTACGAAACTCACTGTACTGGGGGAGGAAAACAATTCCAGACACCAGTTTTCACTTGGGGGAAAAAAACAAAACTTGCACCTTCAGGAGATGGTAAACGAAGATTCACTTTAGTCCTTGTGTAGGCTGTGGTTTCTGCCTGGGGCCTTTACGACTGCATTCCACGGAGGAACAAAGCTGGGCTCAGAGCAACTTTTCACAACCACTCCAGGTCCACTGAGAAGCACATAAAAGTGTGAAAGCAGATGACAGCAGGAATTCACTCCCAGCAAATAAAGATGAACGGACGGCGGTCTCCTTAGCCAACGCCCCAGCCGGTGCAAGGAGAGCAGCTTGTACCGTGGGGCCATTAAGGCGGTTCTCGGAGGCTTTGCAGGCGTCAGACTCTCATCCTCTCTAAAAGTGGACTAGGAAAGCTGCTGTATGACTGGTTTATAAAATATCACCTGAGTTTTTAAAATTCCAAATGCGAAATACTATTATTAGTCCCAGAGTAAGCAATACAAAAAAACCTTTTGCTCAATATTCCACTCTCTTTCCAGCTAGCTTCTTCACACTTTGTTACCCCGTTGCCACACGTTGTTAAAAGTGACTTCTGTGCTAGAACCATCCCTGGCAAGAATATAATAAGGTGGCCACTGTAGCCTTGCCAGGGACTGATGGCGTAGTCACAGTAGTCTGTGTTCAGCTGGGGTAGGGATTTGTATATATTAACTTAAAAGTGAGTGTGGTCTTCACTAATTTATACTCCTGGAAGCTATTTATTATTATAAAACCACACTGAAAAAATGATTCCAGAATCCTGAGAAGT